AGGTAGTTTAGACTTATATACTACTTCTTTATCCGCCCTCGGGTAAGCTAGCCCTACTAGGCCTTAACTCGAACGTTGCGAGTACTTAAACCGAAAATGAAATAGTTCCGGAAGCGCACTTTGTACTAACGGGTCCTCTTCGCGTGTTCGTATTACGCCTATATAAGGAGTATAGTCTCCTTCCCCTTATCTATGCGAATCTTACGAGGTACTCGWTTATATTTCTTAGYRGCGTAAGCGAAACTAGATAAGATAGAYACTATTATACGGGCGGAAGGACCTAAATACTAGTATAAAACGTATCTTGTATCGGCGTTAATAGCAGCGTAGATTTGAAATCCATAGTCCTCTAGCTTATAGTAAGCATCTATGCTCTAACAATAGTCCGGCCTAGGCGTAGTATAGATACCTCGACGGCGCGTAAATCGAGAGGATCTATTATACGCCCCTGCTAGGTAGACCTTACGGACTAGTTCGTATAAGCGGCGCCTACGGACTTTATTAGCTATTGCTATATATAGGAGTAGTAGTATAATCCGAAACTGTAAGGCGCACTATTGTACCCACCTGCTAAGCGCAATCCTTACACGGTCGGTTATACGGAAGTGTGTTTATAGGAGAACCTTACTATACGTATCGATCTTAGAGCGATTAAGCTCCTTTACGACGAGATTAAGGAACTCGTTCTTACGCTCCGTAAACTCTACATTACGGATGCGTAACTTAAGGCCGAGCTACCGACGTAGCCGTATAAAGGTAGTGTGTTTAATATCGTAACCGTCCTTCTTCAATTCGTCTATAATAAACGGATCTAGTAACGCTTAGAGGTAAAAGAGGTCGGCGATCCGGATATAGAGGGAGAGGTCGTTACGAAGGTCGGCGATTAGGGACTAGCGGCGATTCCTACTATTAAGCGATACGATTATACGGATCGTACGTTCGGAGGCGACGACGTTTTACGTCTCGAGGTATGCCTATATCTCCGTAATGCTTGTAGTATCGTTCTATAGCTTAATAACCTTAGGTCGGAGCTCCGCTAAAATGTTAGGTAGACGTCCTATAGTTATGTATAATAATAGCGCTAGCCGTATAATAGGTAGAATAGAAGGGGGAAGATATAGAAGGTAATAAGCAAGTAGCGTAATAGCAGAARCCTCGGCAAAAATAGGACCGGGTTAGGGTTAGGGTAGCGTCTTCTCGATAGTAGGATAGTAGACTACGGCATGTTCGACTACAGCAAATAATAGTAGCACAATTATATAGAGCGAAGGGATATTTATAGGCAAAAAGGTCGTAAAGAAGGATTTAGATGCAATTCAAAGATATTTAGAGGTTCTAAAAGTTAAGAAAACCAAAAATAAAAATCTACTACACATTTAAACTTATTTAACGCACTATCGCTCGCATTAAACCCCCCGTATAAAGTAGAGAGAGAAGGTCGTAGCACTTGTTTAAGACCTGTTTGTCCGATCTAGGGTGTACTTATTACCCTTACTAAAGACATTCCGATACACGTAATTTCCGTAGGCATCGTTCTTGCTGCCCTTCGCGACTACGTACTTCTACTATTATTAGCCTCTGCTACTATTATACGGGCTGCTCGTAACAAGACATACCTTAAACGGGCCCTTCTACTAGATATATAGGCCGCATCGCTCGTTATTTCCACCCCTCGTCCGATTGTTATGCTAGTTAACTCCGCTATAGTGCTATTAGCTGCCGGCATTAATTCTAGGAGCTATTATACTAACCGGCTCTAGATAAGGAGAGCAGCTATTATAGTCTTGTCGAACTTTATCGGGGGGAAGTCGGGGGTGCGGTAGAGGAAGAGGGAGCCTTTAGCCTTGTCTATTAGCTCGCTAGCTATAAGGTCGAACTAGAAGCCGGCTACTTAGAGCTGGTTTATACTAGTTAGTCTCGTAGTCCTAAGCGCTATTATCTAACCTTTTACCTCTTACCTTGTCGCTACGAACGTCGATCTAGCGCTATAGCTCTAGGCTAGCTAGGCTAGCGTCGACAGATTTAGGCATGTAGGGAGCTATTTAGTAGTAATTCTACTTTGTACTAGGAGATAGGGAGGAGGTTAGAGGGTATAGTAAGGTGTAGGAGTGTTAAAGAATGTGTTAGATGTTAAAGTAAGGTAGATCGTGTTTAAAGATAAAGAAGGAATGCAAGTAGCAGTTTTATACTCCTCGTAGGCATTACCCGCACGCGTACAAAGTTATGTAAATTACTTATTAGGTGCACTCTACGCTCCCCGGGTCCTRTTATTACCGCGTATTCGGCGGATAACCTAGACACATACGATTATCGTTAGTATTCGGTTACGAAGTAATAACAGTAAGGTAATTATTCCCCTACGGGAAATATATATATAATAGACATAGGGAAAGGCTTTATACTTTTAGGATCCGTAGAGCTAATCCTTAAAATATTTTAAAATATTGCCTATTTAGGAAGGAGGTTTTTAATATTAAGGATTAGCTATATTATAAACGTCTTAAGTACGATAACTCTCTCTACTAATT